GTGAAATTCAATGAAGACCTTATGTTAAGTTAGTGAATTGAGTGTGTATTACGAATAGTTGGGGTTCATGTTTGTGGTGGTGTAAACGTCAATTAAATTCTTTCCTTTAAAGACCTGAAGTTGCTTGCAGAATCCAAATTTAGACGTCGTTGTTAAATTTATGGGTAGGGAGTATTGAGAATTTAGAAATGGAAAATAAGGTGGATTATCAAATTATTTGGTAAAGGAAAGTTGTAATTAATTGATGTTGTGATTATTAAGAGTTTCATGTGTTTGTTGAATTTAATCAGAGTTACACAGTGAAAATGCAGCGATATGTTGGTATTTGTATTGTTGTTTAAAAGATTGTTTCAAGCAGGAACAAAGGATCTATATGAAGAAACAAAGAGGTCGGTCATGTGAAAGTCAATTGGAAGTATTTTGATTGTAAAGATGCGTTGTGGGAGTTTGAACTTGTTTTAGTAATCGACTACCCTTCTTTGTTGCTTGAACAAATTTTGAGGACATAATTCTCTTAGGGTGCGTTTAGTACGCAGACAGGACAGAACAAGACAGGACAGGACAAAACAGAATAGGACAGATATTCAGCATTTGGTAAGACATGACAGGACTGGACAGGACTGGTTAAAATGACCAATTTACTCCCAGTGAGCTGTTTAATGTTTTTTTTTTACTAAATAATCAATATAAATGTTAACAAATACGATGTACAAAGTATAACTTACATCAAACCACTACTACTTGCAAAAATACATGATTTCATAATCAACTAATGATATATGAAAAAAGTAAATATAATATAAGCATCAAGAATCCATTATCGAAGCAAATCTATATGCATTCCATACTAAGAAGAAAAAACTACTACCAACAAGCGCACAATCAATTAAAATGGATTAAATATCMAATARTAWATAAAATATAAGCATCAAGAAAACAATTTGGCTAGTGATCCCATATAGTATCATCACATTCACAAAACTTGGATTCTAGAAAACAAAAGAATTCACCTATCACCTGTACAATACTCCTGTAAGATCAAAATTGAATATTTACTACTCTAATCAAGGGAAAACATACAAAACTCATCGAAAACAACAAATTGCATGCGTGAACCTTACGCAATACATTTGAGGTGATAAAATCAAAAAAACAATTTATGTAATTTATTAAAAATAGAATAATTATTTTTTATAACAAGATATATCATTTGAAGTTTTCGTCAAAACAATTAAAATGACATCAAATAAAAAGTTTATGTGGTTTTCTATTTTTATTTTTATCTATTTTCTACATTATTTTTTATTATTAATATTTTGAGGACAGTAAAATGAAAATTTAAGAAACATAAAATACAATAAATGAATAAAATGTAAAAGAGAGACTTATTTGATGTTTTAGAAGAGAATTAAGTTTTATTTTGAGGTTATATTGGTAAAATATAAGTTTGTTTCACCTTGTTCCACCCTGTTCCATAGGGTAGAGGTGGAACAGGCCTGTTCCACTTTATTCCACTCTATTCATGTTTGTTCCACATAAAATTCCTGCCAAACATAGGACAGGGATCCCTGTCCTGTTCTGTCCTGTCTCTGTCCCTGTCCAGTGTACCAAACACACCCTTAAGGAGGAGAGATTGTAATAACCCAAATTTCTAAAGGTAATAATAATGGAATCACAAAGGTCGTTTTACAAAGAGTTTCATACTTGGAGGACTAAAGTTACAACTTGGTGTATAAAAGGGAAGTACTCCTCATTCACATAACACCTCCCCTCTTTTTGTATGTGTGTATGATAAGCACTGATTATTTATTGCTTGAACACTATTTTCTTCTTCTTTAGATAAGACATTTTCTATTTATATCCCAACATTGAGTCATTTTATTCCTTTATTTTCCACTTCTTTGTTATGAAGCTAAGATGAATGATTTACCTATTTTTGTTATATAATGGATTAATATGGATTTATTTTGGACAATTTGAAGTTATCTGATGCTGCAGGATGCTGTAGCATGACCTGACTATGAGAAAATAGAAGAAAGAGAATATGATGTTGATTAGGGATGGCAAAAAAAAACCCAAAACCGATGGTGAAAACTAAAAACCGAAAATTTTGGGTCGGGTTGGGGGACATCTTATCGGGGACGAGGCGGGGATCGGGGACATATTCGGGGATTTTAACGGGGACGAGTACGGGGGCAGGGACGGTGATCACCGTCCCGGCCCGATATGTATATATATATATATATATTAATTTTAATTTATATATATATATATATATATTAATTTTAATTTATATATATATATTATCATTAAAAGAAAATAGTAACATTAAAATTTAAAAGACGTTTATCCACTTTACCTAAACAACCCAAATAAAGCTCATGAAAAAATATAGTTTATTTTTCTAAAATCGTGAATTAGTTGTATGATGTTTGAATTTCTGTTTAGTTTTATATTGTAATCTAATATATTGTTTGTAATTGGTTCGATTATGTTTGAGACATTTAAACTTACATCTTTAAAAAATTTGTAATTTACTTTTAATTTTAAAAATTAGCATATTGTAATTTTTTTCAATTCGGGTTCGGGTTCGGTTATAACCAACGATGAAAAAGAGGATTTTTACTCTTAACGGGTTCCCCAACGGGGATTGGGGAAACCGCAGGGACCCGATGGGGATCCCCGATAAGATCCCCGATGGGGATTGGGGCGGTTACGGGGACGGTTTTAGCTATCGGTTTCGGGGACAGGGATACCAATACCTGGTCCAAACCCGGCATGTTGCCATTCCTAATGCTGATTGACATGAGCATAGCTGACTTTTGAATGATATTTTATGTATTGACAGCTGTTTATTTTGTAGTTAGCTGAAAACTTGTTGCCTAATTTGGTTACATTATACTTTAAATATTTGCTTTATTGTACTTTTAGTTACTTTAAGTCTAGTTTAAATGTTAAATGACTATTTTGCCCTCATCTCTTTCTTAGTATAAATAGAGATGTTGTGGTTAGTATTTTGATCATCCCATCTAATTCTCAAATAGTTATCTTACTACTTGTAGAATACTTTCTCTCTCTAAAAAATACAAGTAACTTTTGGCGAATTTCTTTTCCAAGCTTTCCTTTAATTGTTTTATATTTTTCGCTCTTTACTTTCCATCATTTATTTATTACGCTTTTCGCATTTTATTTTCCGTCATTTACTTTCCGTCATTTACTTTCCGTTATTTATTTTGTCTTCATTTACCGCTATTTATATTTCTTGTAATTTAGTTTCCATCATGAGTAGCTAAATTTCTTAGCTCGGGTGTATGACGAAAAGGGTGAGTTTGTAAATCAAAATAAAGTAGATCCTTTTATGTGACAACAATGTTTCATTATTTCATTTCAAGTTTTATAAAATCAATGACACTTCTTGACGAGTTGATCACTGAAAAGTGTTAAAGTGTCATGGACTATAAGTTGAGCCATTGATTGCACGTCAATTTGGATGATATGGGAAGTAGACTTGAGAGAGTTGCTAACAAAGAGATTTGTTATCCGTATTTTCTAAAACGTTAATTCTCGACAGGTTGATCACTTTGAAGTGTTACAGTGGAATGGACTCAGAGATGAGCCATTCAGAACACGTCAACTTGAATGATATGGGAATCCACTCGAGAGAGTGATTTTTAGCAAAGAGATTTCTTTATCCATATATTTTGAGGACACCATTTGTCCCTTTCACTGGTTCGGATACCTCATAGAGATATGGGTTGAAAACTATAATATCAGTGCATTGGTGAAGTCCGAGAGGAATACCTTCAAAATAAATGGTGAAATAATTACTAATTGTATGTCATAGCAATTTGTCAGCATGGTCTCATGCCGTAGCATTTTGACAACATTGGTCTACTGGAAATAGCATTTACATCTCACCCTAAGTCTTACACCCTGGCTTGCTTTTATTATCTATTGTTTCCTGTTAATTTTTAGTTGTGTTCTGATCAAATCAAAGTCTTCAAATTCGCTTTCTGAAATCATCTCCTTAATATTACTTTCATCTAAACTTTTACTACGATTCATGTGGACGATATCAGGTACTTGTACCACTTTATTACTTGAAAGACGATATTAGAACTAATTGTATACTTGTTGTTGGTCCCAGTTGTAAGTCTGTGGGTATGTGAATACGGGCCCAATTAAGTTTTTGGTGCCGTTGCCGAGGATTGGCAAGCTATTAAGTTTTTGTGAAAGTAACTTTAAAGATTTGATTTTTCTAACACCGTTTGATCCACTTTTAAGAGGTGTATGCCATGGATACACCAAGGGAGTTTCTCAAATTCGATCCAGATATTAAGAGAACATTCTGCCAAAGAAGAAGGGCTCAAAGAGCAAATTCTGCTCTACTCCCTCCTAATATGGCGTTACCTCCCCCATTTGACGAAGAAGTACCAATTCAAAATCCACCAACCTTTGGTCAAATGCCATAATTCCAGCCTGTTCTGCCAAATGCACCACTTTTTCAAAACCCACCAACACATCATTTTCAACAAGGGCCACCAAATCATGAAGATGCACATAATGACAAGGAATCTGAAAATAATGATCATTCATGAGCTCAAACTCCAAATATAATTAATATTGCAAACTCTAGAAATGGAAGAATCGTGGACTATGTTATTCCTGACTTTGAGCAATTGAACTCAAGGATAGTTAGACCTCATATGACTGCCCTCCGTTTTGAGCTTAAACCGATCATGTTCCATATGTTCAAACAAATGGACAATTTGCAGGATTACCATCGGGAGATCCTCATTCACACCTAAAATCTTTCATGGAAATTATTGATGCCTTCTGATCTCGAGAGTGTCTAACAATGCTCTAAGACTTACTTTGTTTCCATTTTATTTACAGGGATCGAGCTAAATCTTGGTTTAATTCATTACCACCAGGTTCTGTACCATAATGGGGCAATATGGCCGAATTTGCAAAAATATTTTTCACCCACCAGGAATGCTAAGTCTAGAAATGAAATATGTCTTTTTTAAACAAATGGACGATGAAGTTGTTCCTGATGCATGGGAGAGGTTTAAAGAGCTATCAAGGAAATACCCTTACCATGGCATTCCTTACTACATTCAACTCGAGACATTCTACAATGGATTAAGTCCCATGGCTAAACAGATGCTCGATGCGACTACAGGAGGAGCCTTTACAGCTAGTACCTACAATGAAGGCTATGAAATCCTTGAAAAGATTTCTGCAAACAATGGACACTGGGCTGATCCATGTGCCCAACCGCAAAAGAAGACAGCCGAAATTCATGATATAGATGCATACACTGCATTAACAACACAACTCTCTTCCATGGCCAACATGCTTAAAAACCTAACTTCTGGCCGAGGAGTGCAGTCAACTGTTACTACACCTATTCCAGCAGTCCTCTTAGTGCAATGTGTTTTTTGTGGAGGGGAACATTCTTATGAACTTTGCCCACATAACTTTGAATCTTTCAATTATGTTCGTAATAGATCAAACCCCTATTCCAACACATACAATGCCAGTTGGAGACAACACCCAAATTTCTCTTGGAACAGGCCAAGTTTGAATCCACCCGTTCATAAGAAATAAGGAAAATCTAATTTTCAACCTCAACAGCATGCAAGCAGTTCTAACTCTCAAAATCATCATCACCAAAATTTTCAAGCTGCTCAACCATCTTTTCAAAACAAACCACCTCTATAATATGAATCATCATCTTCTTTGGAAGCTATGATAAAAGGATTGGTGGCTCAGTCTTAAGCTCAGCAGCAAATGATGACCCAAAATCAATCTCTTTTTAATTAGCAAAATGTTGCTATTAGAAACCTGGAAACTTAAGTAAGTCAACTTACACTCAATCAGACCAATATAGCCCTTGGTACTTTGCCTAGTAACACAAAAGTTCCTAGAGATCTAGGAAAGGAGCATGTAAACGTAGTGACTCTTAGGAGTGGGAAGGAATTAGCAGAGACCATACCAAAAGAAAGTGAAAAGGTTTTTTCTAAACCTGAGACTACACCTATGTTCCTTGTTACTAAAAATCCTCCAAGACCAATAGAGAACCAATCATCTGAGGTCCCTACTTTTGTTCCTCCTAAGTCAGACTATCCTTTGTTATTCCCACAAGAAGTTGCTAGGGAAATGTCAATAGAAGATGAGGTTATAACAGATCCAAAGACCAAAGTTGTAACCCCATCTAAACCTCAAGAAAGTAAGACCAAGACTAGGCATTGTGGACCCATCTTGCTCAACACAATCATATAAAGTTATCATAAAACCAGTTCCTCTTTATGTTCCTTTTCCCCAAAGTTTAAGGAATCAAAAGGAAGAATTGCAATTTAAGAAATTTTTGAAAGTGTTTAAAGCATTGCACATCAACATACCTCTTGTTGAAGCAATTGAGCAAATGCCCAATTATGCCAAGTTCCTCAAAGACATCTTAAGTAAGAAAAAGAAGTTGACCGAATATGAAACCGTAGCTCTTACTGAAGGATGTAGTGCTCTTCTAACCAACAAAATACCTCCTAAGCTTAAAGACCCGAGAAATTTCACTATTCCCTGTTCTATAGGTGGAAAGAAGATTGGAAACGTTTTATGTGATTTAGGTGCTAGTATTAACTTGATTCCATTGTCTGTTTTCAACACCTTAGGCATAATAGAAGCTAGACGCACCACTGTCACACTGCAATTGGCTAACAAAACCATTGTTTATCCAAAAGGTAAGATTGCGGATGTCTTAGTTCAAGTTGACAAGTTCATATTTCTAGCTGATTTCATCATTCTTGATTTTGAGGCTGATAAAGACATTCTTATCATCTTAGGAAGACCATTATTAGCCACCGGTGGAACTTTGATTGATGTGCAAAAAGAAGAACTAACTATGAGGCTACAAGACCAGAAAGTCACATTCAATGTCTTTAATTCCTTAAGTACCCTGATTACTTAGAGGAATGCTCAGAAATAACTGAGATAGAGGCAATGTGTCATGAGGAGGGAATTAGAAAGGCCTGTAAGTTAGAAGAAGAGGATAGTGCTGAGATAGATGAGATATCCCATTTGATGTTACTGTTTTTGAGTTGCTGGAAAATTGTGAGCAAAAGAATTTTACCCCGTCCATAATTTGACCACCTGACCTGTAGTTGAAGCAACTCCCATCTCATTTGAAATATGTTTTTCTAGGAGAAGAAGGCAAATTATCTGTCATCATATCATCTACCCTAGACTTACATCAAGAAAAGAAGTTTAAAGACATGTTGAAGTTACACACAAAAGCTATAGGATGGACCATTGCTGACCTTAAAGGGATTAGTCCTTCTATTTGTCAACATAAGTACATCCTAGATGACAAGAACTTCAAGTCTATAGAGCCTCAAAAAAGATTAAACCATGTCGTGAAAGAGGTAGTAATAAAAAAAAATTTGAAATGGTTAGATGCAGGAATAATTTTTCCAATAGTCGGTAGTTCTTGGGTTAGTCCAATCCAATGTGTCACAAAGAAGGGAGGGGTTACAGTTGTCACCAATGACAAAAATGAACTCATTCCCACTAGAAGAGTATATGGATGGAGAATATGCATGGACTACCGTAGGCTAAACAAAGCCACCCAAAAGGACCATTTTCCCTTACCTTTTATTGATCATATGTTGGACAGGTTGGCCAGAAAGGAATATTACTGTTTCTTGGATGGGTACTCCGAATATAATCAGATAGCCATATCACCCGAGGACCAAGAAAAGACCACCTTCACTTGTCCCTATGGTACTTTTGCCTTTAGAAGAATGTCATTTGGACTCTGCAATGCTCCTGCAACTTTTCAAAGATGCATGATGTCCATATTCTCTGACATGCTTGAAAAGTCCATAGAAATCTTTATGGATGATTTTTCAGTTTATAGCTCATCTTTTGATAATTGTTTGGAAAATCTAAAAGGGAGTCTTGAAAGATGTGAAGAGACTGATTTGGTTCTCAACTGAGACAAATGTCATTTCATGGTCAAAGAAGGGATTGTTTTGGGACATTTGATTTCTAAAAGAGGAGTTGAGGTAGACAAAGTTAAACTTGAAGTTATTGAAAAGCTACCTAAACCAACCAGTGTCAAGGGAATAAGAAGTTTTCATGGTCATGTTGGGTTTTACAGAAGGTTTATCAAAGACTTTTCAAAAATCTCAAAACCCTTGTGTTTACTTTTGCAGCATGACCAAAAATTTGATTTCACTAACGAATATAGAAATGCATTCAAAACTTTGAAGAAAGCCTTGGTAACCGCACCAGTAGTTGTTGCCCCTGACTGGAACAAACCTTTTGAAATCATGTGTGATGCTAGTGATTGGGCTGTAGAAGTTGTCCTAGGTCAAAGAAAAGAGAAAGTCTTCCATTAAATTTATTATGCAAGTAAAACTTTGAATGAAACACAAATTAACTACACAACAACTGAAAAACAATTGTTAGTTGTGGTTTTTGCCTTTGAGAGGCATAGATCATATTTGAAGGGAACAAAAGTCATTGTACACACTGACCATGCTGCCATCAAGTACTTGATCTCCAAAAAAGATACTAAACCTAGGCTAATAAGATGGGTTTTGTTGTTGCAAGAGTTTGACCTATAGATAGTGGACAGAAAAGGAGTGGACAATCAAGTTGCAGATCATTTGTCTATACTAGAGAAACCTATTGAGGACAAAGGAGAAGGAGACATCATTGAAACCTTCTCTGATGAAATAATTATTGTGCTACAATCAAAGTCACCATGGTTTGCTGACATAGCAAATTATTTGGCTTGTGGCATAAGACCTTTTGATTATACTAGCCATATGGTTAAAAAGTTTTTCCATGATACTAAATCTTATATTTGGGATGATCCTTACTTGTTTAAAATAAGTGCAGATCAAAATTTAAGAAGGTGCATCCCAGAAACTGAAGTGGCAACAATTCTGCAGCATTGCCACCAAGCAGCATATGGAGGACACTTTGGAGGCCAAAGAACAGCAGCTAAAGTTTTACAATCTAGTTTTTATTGACCAACTCTCTTCAAAGATGCCTACAATTTTGCACAAAGATGCAATGAGTGTCAAAGAAGTGGCTTCATTTCCAAATGGAATGAAATGCCACTAAATGGGATCTTAGAAGTAGAGTTGTTTGATGTTTGGGGAATAGATTTCATGGAACCATTTCCCCCATCAAATAATTGTCAATACATTCTAGTTCTTGTTGATTATGTGTCAAAATGGGTAGAGGCTATGACTTGTGTTGCTAATGATGCTAAAACTATGGTTAAATTTCCTTCAAAAGCTAATTTTTACAATGTTTGGTACCCCAAGGGAACTAATCAGTGATGAGGGTATCCACTTTGTAAATAACTTGTTAAGTGGAGTCCTTGGAAATATAACATTAACTACAGGATTGCAAATGCCTACCACCTACAAACAAATGGATTAGTTAAACTCTCAAACAAAGAAATAAAGGGAATCTTAGAAAAGGTTGTCAAGCCAAACAAAAAAGATTGGGCTTTCAAATTAGATGACGCTTTATGGGCAATATAGGACTGCTTTTAAAACACTTATTGGTATGTCTCCATATAAGTTGGCCTTTGGTAAGGCTTGTCACCTCCCTTTAGAACTAGAGCACAAAGCATTTTGGGCCATCAAAGAATTAAATATGTGTCCAAATGTTGATGCCAGTAAAAGAAAGTTCCAACTTTGTGAATTAGAAGAACATAGGAATCTGTCCTATGAAAATGTCAAGATCTATAAAGAGAAAACAAAGAAATGGTATGACAAAATAATTCAGCAAAGAGAACTGAGAGCATGCCAGCAAGCCCTCTTGTTTAATTCAAGATTAAAATTGTTCCCAGGAAAGTTCAAATCTCAATGGTCTAAACCATTCCTCATTCATAAAGTTCATCCTTATGGAGCAATTGACCTAGTTAATCCAAAGAACAATTCTGTGTTTAAAGTTAATGGTCAGAGAGTAAAGTTATTTCATGATCCGGTAGAAATTCAAACGAAATGCTAGTGAATTTGGTTTCCACTTGCTAAAAAACTTCAGCAGTTTATGGACTTTTTATAGTCCAAAAGCTCTGTTGTAA